CTGGAACTCACTTGGTAGCCCAGGCTGGCCTTGAACTCACAGAGATCTGCCTGGCTCTGCCTCCCAGTGCTGGGATTAAAGGCGTGCTCTACCACCGCCCGGCCCCTTTACTTATTTATTATTCTTGGGTGGGGAGTGTAGGGGGATTAGACACACACCACCACATCCAGCTTCCTAGAACTTTCAAATTTCAAAAAAAAAAAATTATATTGGTTTTTCTTTTGAAAAACAGGATCTTGCTTGAAATAGGATCCCTGACCAGTCTGGAGCTTACTGTACAGCCCAGCTGGACCTTGAACTTGCCACCATCCTGCCTCAGCTTTAGAGGCCTGCACCATTAGGCCTGACTTTCCCTGGATACTCTTTTGAAAGGCCTGTTTTCTTGCCCAGTCCCCTTCAGACTATAAGCTGCTCTAGGACAGGGTCTACATCCTACGGAATATCTCTCTCCCAGTGCACTGCACGGTCAATATTTTTCTATTTTTTATTTTTATGTGTATGGATGTTTTGCCTTCATGTATGTCTTGTACACCATGGCATACCTGGTGCCTCTGAAGACTAGAACAGAAGTTACAGATGATTATGAGCCACTATGTGGGTGCTGGGACTCGAACCCAGGTCCTCGAAAGAACAGGCAGTGCTCTTAACTGATAACCACTGAGCCATCTCTCCACCCTCTGAGTTTTTATTAAAAAAAAAAATTAGATCACCAACAAATGAGCATAGCATGGTTGTGATGCATGGCTAACAGGAGAATACACACTGTTCCCAGCTTCTGAAGGGCCTGGCTTTGAAGATCAGAGTCCTGACTTGTGCTATGCTGTTGCCCAATCCCTCTGTGGACCTGTGGGTGGGGGTCAACCTTCTTGGATCCATAGAAGAGCAATTCAAAATCAGACAGATTCACCAAGTTTAGTTAGAACCACACAGTGTAGAAGCCTGCTCAAGTCAGGATCAGAGAACGGAAATTCAAAGTCTTCTCCATGGGGGTAGAGGTAGGGGCAGACTTACGGAATGCCCCAAGGGCCACGGGGCAGCAAACAGGCTTCTGCATGTTTGGGTGAGCCCAGGGACTCAGGCCAGAATATTTCAAAAATGCTCCTTGCCATGCCCTCCTGGGGCTTCGGACCCAGGTGACTAGGCAGGCCAGTGCTTGTGCTAAGGAGGGCACCCCACCCATCTCTGCTCGGCTCCTACCTATGCCCTCTGGACCTGGCTGGGATCTGAGGGTTCCAAGGAACTATGTAGTCTCCAGGCAGCTACAGGAGGAACCCTTCAGACTCACTCTCTGGTCTCCATTAAGTAACAGCCAGTCCTTAAAATCTGCAAGATCTTGATAATCCTCCCTACTAAGGAAAACAAGGTCCAAAGGGAGCCTTACGTCACACTAGTTTGAAAGCAGATGTCCTCATTCCTAATCAGGCTGTTCTAGAAGCCAGAACTTAAGGGCTGTTCAGCCTCACGATGTTCAACCTAATAACGGATAGGTGCCTGGCATGGTGGTGCACGCCTTTAATCCCAGTACTCCAGAGGCAGAGACTGGCAAATCACCAGGAGTTCCAGGCTAGCCTGGTCTACAGAGTGAGTTCCAGGACAGCCAGGACTCTGTAGAGAGACCTTGTCTCAAAACAAAAACAAAAGTAACAAAGCTAAAGCTGGTGGTGGTGGTGCACATCTTTAATCCCATCACTAGGGAGGCAGAGGCAGGCAGATCTCTGAGTTCGAGGCCAGCCTGGGCTACAGAGAGATTTCCAAGACAGCCAGGGCTACACAGAGAAACCCTGTCTCAAAAAAGCAAGCAAGCAAGCAAACAACAAAACTAATAGGCCCAAGATGTTCATTCAAGAACATGAGCCTCCTGCCAGACTCAGTGCTCTTATCCCAGCATGAGGTATGTGTGCATAAAGGAGTTCTAGGTCAGCCTCAGCTGACCAGTGAGTTGAAATCTGGCTTGGCCTACAAGAGATCCTTGTCTCATCAATGCCAGCCTGGTCTACAGAGCAAGATCCAGGGCAGGCTCTAAAGCTGCACAGAGAAAGAAACCTTGTCTCGAAAAAACAAAAAAAACAAAAAAAAAAAACAAACACCCCCCCCCACCCCACCCCCACCCCCGCAAAAAAAAACCCCAAAAAGAATACAAATAAGGTTCCAGGCCAGCCAGGGCTTTAGAGTAGGACCCTGCCTCAGAAAGACAACAACAACAACAAAAGAACACAAACAAGCCCCTTCATCTTCCTATCTCCACAAGAGGGTACTTCCTTTTGATTAAGAATGCAGTTGGTCATGGAGCTCGATTCATCGGTTAAGAGCACTGGCTGCTGTTCCAAAGGACCAGAGTTCGATTCCCAGCACCCACATGGCAGTTCACAACTATCTGTAACTCCAGTTTCAGAGGATACATGCAAGCAAAACACCAATACACATAAAATAAAAAAAAAGTAAATCATAAAAAGTGGGGGCGAGGCTAGGGATGTGGCTCAGTTGGAAGAGGGGTTACTTAACATGCACAAAGCCCTGGGTTCCACCGCGGCACTACGTAACCAGGTATGGCAGGCCACTCCAACAATCCTAGCACTCATGAGTTAGAAAGTTTAAGGCTAGCCTAAACTACATGAAATCCTGTCCAAAGGTGTGTTGGGGGGTGGGTGGAGAATGTAGCTCCCGTCCGGACATGGTGAGGACTGGGAATTCTAGGCCACCTCAACTACATTAGTGAGACATCACCCAAATGAATACACAAATGTGTAATAAAATCTTCAGGTTTCAAATCTTGTCTTTTGCCACATCTTAGCTCGGTGACTTTGGGCAAGGGACATATTTTTGCCATGTGTAAATTGGAAGCTAGCTAGTAGCACAGAGGGACTGTTGTGGGAAGGAAGAGCAGAGGATTTTAGAGTGAGTCACCGTTGTCCAGGCTTGACCATGGGGGCTTGAAAGGGATGCTCTCAGTCCTGGTTATAACTCCTAGTGCAGTGCTTTACAACTGAGACGCGTAATGGGACACACTTGGTCACAACTCCTAGCTAAGCCCACACTCACCCGTCCCCAGGTCACTGAGGGCCCCTTCTTTTTCCTCTTTGGGTTCACCGGGAGTACAGATCGACATCTGACCACTGACGTTTGCCCCACAGTGCCCTAAGGCAAGGCACTTACTTTCTTAATGCCCCTGGGTTTCAGCTTCTGAAAAACTGGAAATACTCAATGACCAACACCCAGGCGGTTCCTGGAAAGACTAGTGGTCCTGCTCTCCGGGGTGGGCCGTGTGACCTGAACTGTCCACTCCTTCCTGTCACCTCTGCGCATACTGCAAGGCTACCTGAAGAACAGGGTGTGACCTGGCCTTTTGGGCTCTACCATCAGAACCTCGGGCAAGTGACTCAGCCTCTTGGTGAGGACTGAGTTGGAAAGTGCGACTGTAGCCACCTGAGTCAAGGGTCACCAGAGACTTGAGCAAGCTCTGTCACCTCAGATGACTCTCTGCCCCACGAGCTCTCTGTCAGGTCAGGTGACCCAAGTCCTAAAGTGAAACTAATTACAGAGCAAGAGCTTCCACCCTGTGCTGAGCATCAGCCTCTGACGCCTGGGCCTCGGCTCTCTCCTACCATTTCTGTCCCCATCTTTAGACACAAGGCTGATCATCCATTGGTTCACTCTCTGACTGGTAATAGGGAAAGTAAAGGAAGTTGAAAGACAGACAGGGAGTGTTCCGAAGGTTTTAGCACCAGGGGAATAGGCGTTTTCCGTGCTTGGGCTGGAGAGGTGGCTCAGCAGTTAAGAGTGCTCATGCTGATCTTGCAGAGAACCAGAGTTCAGTTTCCAGCACCCTCATAGGGCAGCTCACCTGTATTACAGTCACAGCCTGTATCTCCCCATCACTGGGCTAGAAGGCAGAACTGGGCAGTAAAAGCTTGAGATCACTAAGGGAGAAAAGTCGGCTACCAGCTCTCTCTGACTGTATCAGTGAGTTTGGAAGTAAGGCTGAAGTTGCACCAGAGGATCAGGATTTTTTTCCTTATACAGGATCTCACTCTGTAGCCCTGGCTGTCCTGGAACGCACTCTGTAGACCTGGCGGGGCTTGACTGCTTAGAGATCCGCCTGCCTCAGCCTCCCAAGTGCTGGGATTAAAGGCAAGCGCCACCACACCCAGCAACAACAAATGTCTAAGGCTTACAGGGTGTCAGTGTCTAGGGTCTGGGTCACAGTGCTAAGTAAGACAAACACCAATCAGGAGGTGGTGGCGCACGCCTTTAATCCCAGCACTCGGGAGGCAGAGGCAGGCGGATCTCTGTGAGTTCGAGGCCAGCCTGGTCTACAGAGTGAGTCCCAGGACAGCCAAGGCTGTCCTGTCTCGAGAAACCCTGTCTCGAAAAACCAAACAAACAAAAAGCCAAACAAGGACTGGCAGGGGAAGGGGGAAGGAATACAGGCACCTGCTAGCTGTCCTCTGACCTCAACAACCACCAGGGATAGAGAAGGTGAAGGGGTGCTGGCGGTTTAGGGAGCAGAGACAGCGGAAAAGTCATCATCAAGGATTTGAAGGATGGGAGTGGTCGATCAGGTTGGCCAATTCTTCTGCCTATTGGCTTTTGTACTGGTGGCAGCATGCAGCCCCTCCCCTGTCCTGCAGAGTTTACGGAAATTTATTGACAAGCTTTGTTGCAGGAGCAGGGCGGGAGGAGGATTTAGAAAGGGCTGGTTCGACCCAGGTCTGTGTGCACCTACTTCTCACTCAGATCTCGTTCTGTGGCTAAAGTAGTGTTGTGTTTGAACTCTCGGACAAATCGTTTCTCCTGGGTCATAGCACGGGCTCAGGAAATCCAGGTTTCACCTCTTCTCTCTCAATCACAATATGAGGGCTGGAAAGGGTGGGAAAGCTCCCGAGAGAGGAATGAGGCTAGGAACACACTCTCGGGACTTAGAGAAAGCGGGGCTTTTTATTCGCACCGCTATGTTCAGTGTTGGCTCTCCAACTCCGTGTTTACGCGGTGCTGGGTGAGAGAGCCCCTCTGCCGGCAAGCACGAATACCCCGGTAATCTGGGAACAAGGTTCCGAAGACCCGGTGGGACGCCGTGGCTCCTCCCGGAAGGGCAGAGGACACCGAGCTCGACGCACGTGGACGGCGTGCTGCTCTGCGGTTCCGGTCACCAAGCTGTCCCGCGGAGCTCAGCGACAAGGCGGACCGGCGGGCGGTGGAGGGGGCTGCGTGCAGATGCCCCACGCCGAGCCCGGCGGGAGGCGGGCAGTGTGACAGCGACTCACGCACGTGCCACGCGCACGCAGAGGGTGCCCTGCACCCACGCCCCTCGGACGGGACGCGCCACGCTCCACCCGTCCAGCCCGCCCAGTCCCACCGCCGCTCGCGCGGCCTCGGGGACAGCCGGGAGGCGTGGCCCGCGGGGAGCCCGCCCCTTTGATGTGCGCCGGCGCCGCGGTGATTGGCTGGGCGCTTGTGACGTGCGGGGACTGCGGTGGGCCCGGGTGCTGCGGCTGCCGCAGCGCCCGCCGCGGCTCCGGCTCCGGCTCCCCGGCATTTAAAGGGGACGCGGCGGCGGCCCCGGGGATGGAGGGCAGGTGGAAGGGAAGGGACAGAAGCACATCTTCCACGGTCCCTCAGGACCGGAGGGACGCGTGAGCCGGAGCTCAGAAATCCGGGGGTGGATAAGACTGCGTCCTCCCCAATTCCCGTAAGTACCCCTTGCTCCATCCTGCCCCCCAAATCCCTTAACTAGCCCCCTTCCCACTACTTTCGGTCCAAACTCAACCGGGACAGACAGCGCGGCCGCCGCTGCCCCGCGTTGAGTCCTGGGCTTCGGGAGGATCGCGATCTCAATGTTGGGGTGGGGGCCGTGTGGAGTTTGAGGGTGTTTCATGCGCTTGGTGGTGGGGTAACCCCTGGGGCAGAGAACTGAGCCCCCTTCTTCACCAGGCTCATGGAGCCCAGTGCCCCTTCATCTTCGGGGACTATCATAGCTCCCCGCCACCCACAAGTCCTCCCTTCTCCCCGAGCTGCGCACCCCCCGCCCGCATTAGAGCGAAGTGCCCGCCAGCTGGGGGTGTGCCAGAGTGCCTGCTTTCCAGTCACCTCTAAAAATATCTCTCCTGCTACCCCACCGGCAGCTGCCATCTCTCTGCCCCTACCCAGTGAAGATCAACCTCTGCTTGCCTACCCAAGCAGGGGACCCCAGAGGCGACGCCTAGTCCCAGATTCCTCACTGGCACCAGGGCATAGATCATTGCTCCCTAACTAGCCAGGACAGGGAACATTACAGAGTCTCTGGGGCAAACGGGAAGGTTCAGAGAGTAGAGACCCCTGAGTTCTAATCCTGGTTCTGATGCTGTGTGACGCCCATGACTCAGCCGGACCTCTCTGAGTCTCTTTGAACAAGAAAGGCGTTCGTGAAGTTGTGAGGGTTAGGGGCAGGAATCCCAGCTTAGCTGTCAGATCTGATTCCTAGTGGTGGGCATACTTATTCTTGGAGCAGAGAGGGCTTGCTACTGTGATATTTCTGAAGTCCTCACCCCCATTCTCAGCCTGCATGTTTCTCGTGGAAAACTCTCCAAACTTTTCTACCCTATCCTCCATTAGGAGAATTCAAGCCTAGAACTTAAGACACCAACAGACGCCGGGTGGTGGTGGCGCACGCCTTTAATCCCAGCACTCGGGAGGCAGAGCCAGGCGGATCTCTGTGAGTTCGAGGCCAGCCTGGGCTACAGAGTGAGTTCCAGGAAAGGCGTAAAGCTACACAGAGAAACCCTGTCTCGAAAAAAAAAAAAAAAAAAAAGAGAGACACACACACACACACACACACCTACCCCACCTTCCCACAGATTTAACTTGAGTATTTGTCTCTGGGAGCGGTGGTGGCACACCTTTAACCCCAGCACTCAGGATTAAAGGCAGATCTCTGAGTTCCAGGCCAACCTGGTCTACAGAGTGAGATCCAGGACAGGCTCCAAAGCTACACAGAGACCCTGTATTGGGGGGGGGGGGGGGGGAATTGTGTCAGCGGAGGGAGGGAGCAAGCTGGGAGCTTGTGATCTATGGAATCAGGGCCACAAAAGTTAATCTTAGGTGGGACTAGAAAAGAACTACTTTCTGCCCCAGAAAATCTGCTTCCTCTCCCTGCTAACATGCTGAAGAAACTCAAATCCTGTCTCCACAAGGAATTTTTGTTGTTGTTGGTTTTTTTGTTTTTTGTTTTTATTTGTTTTGAGACAGGGTTTCTCTGCGTAATCCTGGCTGTCCTGGAACTCACTATATAGACCAGGCTGGCCTTGAACTCAGAGATCCCCCTGCCTCTGCCTCCTAAGTGTTGGGATTAAAGGTATGTACCACCACTGTCTGGCACCACACAGGATTTTATCACTCGTACAAATGTGTCAGGAGTGAGTGACTTGTGTGTGTGGTTGTTGTTTGAAACAGGAACTTTTTGTGTAGTTCAAGCTGGTCTCGAACTCGGATTCTCCTGCATCACCAGGCCAGGCAACTGCCATTGACCTTTTCAAATGTTATGAAGCCAAATAACAACTAGGGATGTATGCTTCCCCAGCTGTGGGGCTGGGATATGGGGTGTCACAGTGAGGCTGCCTTAGCTTCTGGGAAGAAACCCAGGATGCCTGGCTTACTGCTCTGCAGATAAAAAAGAAACAAGATTACCAGGAGTGGCAGTGCTGGACTCGAATCCCAGCACTTGAGAGGCAGAGGCAGGCAGTTTGAGGCCAGCCTGGTCTACATAGAAAGTTGCAGGACAGCCAGGGTTAGGTAGTGAGGCCCTGTCTCCAACACAAAAATGAAGATTTCTGTAAACGCTCACTAGTATTAGGTAAAAACATAATTGTGTCTACTACTGTGAGACATGAGAGGTTTTAAGCATAAGATTAATATAATCTTTTTTTAAAAAAGGAAGACAGGCAAATAGTTGACCCCCCGCCCCCCAAGAGATGAAAATTTATCTTAGCAGGGCAGGGGATTCATTACTCAGGAGGCTGAGTTCAAGGCCATGTTGGGTCACCCTGTCTCAAAATTAAAAGCAAAAGTATTGGATTAAGGGTGTGCTGTATAATACCTGCCAAGACCGGTGGTCATTCCTGATTGTGGAAGGGAGGGAGGGAAGGCAGAAACAATGAGAGAAAAAAGTTGGTCTGTGTGGCTGCTGGTGACCATTTGTGTCTTTGTATCTGCCCCCTGCTTCTCCTCCTGCATGATGCTATCCCTCTGAGATTGCTTTTTACAATGGGTGTGGCACCCCCACACCCCTCACCCCCACCCGCACCCCCCCACGCCCCGCTTCTCCTCTAACGCTTGTCCTGGGACAAAGGTTATATCAGCTAGGATTCTGACAGTGACAGTTCCCCTAATATCCCCTGCATGCCATTCCCTTGTCCCTATCCCCATCCCCTTCTCTTCCACTATCTCAACAGTGTTGAGTTTCCCAGGACACTACCATTTTTTGCTGGTGAGCTTTATAGCCTCCTTCCAGTTACTAGCTATAAACTGGGAGTGGGGTGGGGGCGGCACTAAAAGTCACTTCCCGTCTCTGCTGAAAAGCTTTGCTTTGAGGAACCGAGGGTAGCCATTGATGCCTCTCTCTCTCTAAAGACGGTTCCAGAGCCTGTGTCCACGTAGTCCTCTCCTAGTTTATTCTGGAGGCTGTTGCCTCTGCTGCCCTGGGATGGTCAGGGAACGTCACCTTGACAAAGTCAGAGTTTACGGCGCCATCTATTGTCACCACTAGAGGGCAGCAGCCAGCCAGCTCTGCTATATCTGTTCTCTGGTATCTTTCCGATTCCAAGCTGTATCTTTCCAAGTTTAAGAGGCTGACTGACCTCTGGTCTCTCAACCTGGGGGTGGAGACGTAGGGGAGTAGGGAGGCACCAGAAGCTGTAGATGGTAAACTGCGTAGCTGCAAATGATGAAGGCCCCAACCAAAAGATCAGACCGGGTCACCTAAATCTAGTAGAGGTTTCTAGTAGAGGTCTTGTTGATGAGACCCCTGAACACGGGTAGTGACGGAGGTAAGTCTCATATCTCATGTAGAGCCCAGGGCTCTCAGCCTCTAGACAGTGGTGAAGCATTCATGAACCAAATGCCACACTGCTTAAACAACACAGCCTCTGGGAAGTGAATGAATCCCTCTGTTCTCTGCCTTCACGGGTCTAACGAACCATGAATGAGATTGGGAATAAAGGTGACTGACTGGTAAACTGTGACATGCCCTACTTGTGTGTGGGCCAAGGTCATACTGGAGAAAGAAGTCCTGGACCAGCCTCTGAGATCTGGTTTTGAAAAGCCTCAGCCATGTTGAGTGAGTGGCTTTTGAGCAAGTCCCTTAGCCTGTCTGGATCTCCAGGTGTGCCCCCTTGTTACCTCTCTGGTAAGCCTGGGAACTGGCCAGGAGTGTTAATAGCAAGACCTTGCTCTTGCTGAGAACCTGGGAGTAACTCCTGTGCTTGAGGAAATAGAGTCAGGTGGGCATGAGTGGTAAAAGGGAAGCCGGTTTTTGAGACAGGGTCTCTCTCTACATTTCCCTGGCAATCTTAGAACCCACTATGTAGACCAGGCTGGCCTCAAACTCAATAGATCCATCTGCTTCTGCCTCCTTCCCAAGTGCTGAGGTTAAAGGTGTGCGTCAACACACCCCAAATGAACAGGTGTGTACTTTTGTGGGTTCTTTTTGTTTGTTTCAGGAGCTCTGGATGAAAGCTTGAAACCAACAAAGTTTCTAGAGGTGGTGCCCAGGATAAAATCCTGACAATGAGCGGGTGTCTTCCAGCTGTTGGCCTACGATGCCTATCTAGGGTAAGTGGGGCCCTTCAGGATGAGGCCTCATGCCCCAGCTTTTCCACCCTGAGATAGGAGGGACCCTCTCCAGTCCCGTTCAGATTTGCCCTCTCCACTGGCACTCTGTGAATCCCTAGACATTTCTCTGGTGTGGGTCCTGGTGCCTTATACCCTCAACAACAGAGACCTCATGCCACTGAAACTCCCCCAGGTTGATAGTAAACCCCAGGCAACTACCAGATGGAGACGGTGGAAGGGATGGTCCTTTTAGGGGAGCCAGGGAGCCACGTTCCAATCCCAGCTCTGAAATGACCGAAACTGTTGCTGTTTTACCAAAAGTTATCAGAAGTAATAGCGGGTGAGGGCTTGGGATGTAGCTCAATCGGCGCGGGATGCTGTTGGATCACTGGGATGGCGAAAAACAGGAGACTCAGGAGGTACCGCTACACGGCACGTTTTGAGGTCAGCCTGAGCTCCATGAGACCCTTTCTTTAAAAAGAAAGAAGTGGGTGTGATTGTGTGACGGGAAACCAGGTTCCACGTGGGTGAGTTGGGACAGGAAGCTCTTGCAGAGAGGCAGACGGACAAGCAGTATGGTGGATAGTCTAGGACTTACAGGGTCTGTCACTCTGGCCCTCCCGTGCAGCTGCTGGCAAACAGAGGTGGCAGGGATGCGCGCAGATGGGGGCTCCCGCTGTGTCTGTGTGCCTGCCTCTCTCTTTGTGCCCCAATACTCCCACTGTTCCCCCATCCTCTCCCATGCTGTTCGCCCTTGGCCCAGAGTCTCACTACCTAAGGCGCCCACCCTATTCCAGTAGTCTGTTCTACCTTGCCTGACTTCCTCCTAAATATCCCCTCCCCTGTGGCCCCCTCCTGCTAGCTACCCGCCCCTCCCTCCCTCTGCCTTTGTTAGCCACTGCTGCTCTTTTCCCTCTCCCCTACCTGTCTCCCAGGTGTGCTGTGGCCTGGCGAGGGGGGCCCCCATTGCTTCTGCTGCCTGCTTGCTTCGGACTCTAGCAGAAACCCCACCTGCTGGCACGTTCTTCCCAGGGAATTGGCAAGTGATTAGCAGCAGCACAGGGCCCTACAGTAACTCCCCGGAGGAAGAGCCATGTCTCATCCCTTAAGCCCCCCTGCCCAGGGCCATCTGGCTGGAAGCTCCCACTGAGCCTCCCTGGGTCTTGTGTGGTCTGCATACATACCTGGTCCTTTCAAGGGCTGGAATCTAGTTCTCTGGCCAGGACCTAGCAGGATCTGGAACCTGGCTTTCCAAGCCTGGCACCTGAGAGCTGACACTCATTACCCACCCGCCTTGGTGACGCCAAATCAGTTAAGGGACCTCAGGGAGTGATCCCTGACAAGCCCCTCCTCGCTTCTCCTAAGCTGACAGCTGCTAAAGCCCCAGGGACCCCATGAGAGAGGAGACCAGTATGGACCCCTTGCTTCAAGCACCCCCCACGATTAATTGAGAGATGGGCAAGGGACGGCGGGGTGTGGGCCCCACATGGGTTCCATCTCCGACTTAACCAGCCTTGGGTCCTCCTCAGGTCTTGGATGTGCCAGCGATCCTGGCTGTGGCCCGCTAACCAGGCTCTCCCCGGCCGGCTCCCGCCGCGCCACCTTTCGCTTGCCCCCTCCTCCTGCTCCTCTTCCCCCTGCTCCCAGGACGGCAGGATGGCTGCGCCCGGCGCGCCTCGCTTCCTCCTGACCTTCGACTTCGATGAGACCATCGTGGACGAAAACAGCGACGACTCGATCGTGCGCGCGGCGCCAGGCCAGCAACTACCCGAGAGCCTGCGAGCCACCTACCGCGAGGGCTACTACAATGAGTACATGCAACGCGTCTTCAAGTACCTGGGTGAGCAGGGCGTACGGCCCCGGGACCTGCGCGCTGTCTACGAGACCATCCCCCTGTCGCCAGGCATGGGCGACTTGCTGCAGTTCGTAGCCAAGCAGGGCTCCTGCTTCGAGGTCATTCTCATTTCGGATGCCAACACCTTCGGTGTGGAGAGTGCCCTGCGTGCCGCTGGCCACCACAGCTTGTTCCGCCGCATCCTCAGCAACCCATCCGGGCCCGACGCGCGGGGACTGCTGACGCTGCGGCCCTTCCACACGCACAGCTGCCCGCGCTGCCCCGCCAACATGTGCAAGCACAAGGTGCTCAGCGAATACCTGCGTGAGCGGGCCCGCGACGGCGTGCACTTCGAGCGCCTCTTCTACGTGGGCGATGGCGCAAATGACTTCTGCCCCACGGGGCTGCTGGCGGGCGGGGACGTGGCCTTCCCGCGCCGCGGTTACCCCATGCACCGCCTCATCCAGGAGGCACAGAAGGCCGATCCCAGCTCCTTCCGCGCCCACGTGGTGCCCTGGGAAACAGCCGCAGACGTGCGCCAACATCTGCAACAGGTGCTGAAGATGTGTTGAAGACCGTCACCTGCGAGGGGTACCCGGGGACAACCGCCGGAGGAGGGGGGGGGCAGGCCTGGGCATTGGTTAAGACCGCCTGGTTTTACTCCTTCCTTTCTTCGCTTTGCTATGTTCCTCTGGGCATTTCTGGAGTTTTGTCCGCTTGTGGTCTGGGAGCGGAGACTCAGAGCCGTCCCTATCTATGCAGTTACCACAGCTCGGCTGCCTCCCCTCCAGGGAGTGGTGAGCACCCCTTGGAAGGCAGGCAGTGTCCCTCGAACTGAGAGGAAGGGGCTCCTGGCAGCTGGGAGAAAGGATATCTCCCACTACTTCAGCTGCTGCTCCGGCTGCGTAACTTCCCCTACCTAGTCTTTCAATCGGACTCAGGACACACCCACCCACCCCAGTCCGCATGCCAGCGCCGGGTTCCTCGCGCAGACCCGCGGATGCTCCCGGGAGACAGCTCCAAAGCATCCTTGATTTTTGCTTCAGCCACCGCGATCCCACACCGCTGCTGCTCGGGTTGCGCCTTGCTTCCCTTACCCCCGCCCACCATGCCAGACACCCCCAAAGGAAGAAAAAGCCAGAGGGAGTAGCCAACCTCCTGCTGGTGGAACGAGGCAGAACCAACCAATGACCTCGGAGAGTGTGACCAATCTCACTCCATCCTCATCTACTACAGCAAGAGACCAGGGACTTCACCAAAGCCGTCCTCCGCACCCCCCTCCGCCCTTATGGAACAGAAAGCCATGTTTTTACGTAGAGCCAGGGAAATCCAAGCCCCTCCCCCCCTCTGGTATTTCAGACCTATAAAGGAGGTGAAGGGGGACAAAGTGACTCATCTCTTGCGCCGCCGCAGGAGGAGGGAGGGATGAAAGAGGTGCCCTTAGCTGTCAGCCACATTTAAGTGGAGGAGGCTTGAGGAGCCCAGACTGAACACAAGCAAGAGGCAAAGGGGTTTTGAAAGATGCCTGGGACGACTGGGGTCTGGTGGGAACCGTCAAGAGGACTGGGATGGAAAGGTCCTTCTGGGTCAGTTTGCAGGGCTCTCTGATGTCCCTTTCCATCCTCTAGCCTGGCCCTGGCCCTCTAGCCCTGCGGGGCAAGAATCAGGAGGCCATCAGTTTTATTCAAAGCTGGCAATTTGCTCTTTATGAGCTAGGGGTCCTCTGGGCAAGGTGCCTGAACTTCTTGGCTTTTAGGTTTTTTTTTGGGGGGGTCCCCATCTGCAGCAATTCTCTTGTGTACCACCTCTCTAGCCCCCCCACACACACACACACTTCCGCAGTGCTGTGTGGGGCAGGGGCTGAACACCATTCACAGCCCAAGAGGTAGACAGGTCCTTAGTCCAGCCTTGACTGTGGAGCTGGCTTCTTGGGACTCACGAGGCCCACTGAGGCAGTGCTGGGTTGGTGCAGGGACAGATCTGGGCTGTCAGCAGCTGGGCTCCACGTAGTTCCCTGGGAAGAATCCAGTGCCCTCTGAGCTGACCCCCTCACACCAGCCATCAGAGAAGCGGCGCGTGACGCAGATGATGGTGCCTTCGGAGAAGGAGAGCTCGTTGTCCTTCTGACGGGTGTATGGGTATAATGTCACCACTGCAGGGCAGGAAAGGAAAGCTTGTGAGATGTGCCCTCTGTTCCCCCAATGGTACAGGAGCCCGAATACAGGGCTCTGGGGAGCATGTGGGGAGGAGACTGCAGGAGGAGCTTCTGAGCCTTCACATCCCTCCCCAGCCCAGGCAATATTCAACACCAGGCCAGCTGCTCTTTTCCTAGCAGACTTCAGAACTCAGTTCACAAAGGAAGGGGATGGAGAGACAAAATAGGGCCACGCCTTTAGCAGGGAGAGCGAATGCCTCTTGGGTCAGGGCAACAGAGGCCAGAAACCTGGCAATAGATTCTGGTGCTTTTCAGCCCTAAGAGGACGGTACCTTTCTCCAAGTAGGCAGCAGGAACCCAGCTGGGCTCATCTGGTCCAAAACCTGGTGGGGGCGGAGGCAGCAGTCCCAGTTCATCCCCCTCCAGAGCTGGAGGAGGGGGCAGGGGCAGCTCTGCTTCTGGGAAGGCAGGAAAAAAAAAAAGATGCATGTATGTGTATGGTGGCACTGTCCTTAGGATCTAACCAGTTTGTGTCGTCACCCACAAGGCCCCCAGCCCATTGGTGGTGCTCGGAAGGACTCAGCACAGGGTAGGCAGACCCTGCTGGGCAACCCTTACCCAGGCGGGGTAAGCCTATAACGGCCCTGTCAAAGTTAACTTTAAATCAGAAGCTTCAAACACAGAGCTAGTGTAAAATAAGCTCGGTTCACTGATTCCCTGGGGTTCCGGAGGAGCACAAGGTTGGAGCCCCAAAGGATGGATGAGAATCTCTAGGTGGGGGTGAGGGGGGATGGGCACTTCTTACCTGGAGGGGACTGGGACACCTCCAGCGGAGGAGGCGGTAAGAAGACCTCAGCGGAGGCTGCTGGAGGAGGCGGGGTGGCAGGAGCTAGAGGTGGAGGCGGCGGGGTGGCAGATGCTGCCAGAGGTGGAGGAGGCGGGGTTGCAGATGCTGCGAGTCCCTTGGATTGGGGAATCCCACCGGCACCTTCCGCACTGCTAAAGACCAGAGCACACGCAGATGAGCGGAGCCTTCTAACTCAGCATCCCCCAAAGGGCCCCTCCAACCCAAGATCTGGCCCCAAGTTGTTTTTCCCACCTAGCGGTCCTTAGTTCTCAACCCCAGAGGTCTGGCAGGAGACAAACCCCTCCTCTAAAATTCCACCTACTGTCTACCCCCCACTAGACTCAAGCACTCACCCCGCCGAGGCCAAGGAAGAAGCAGAGGAGGCAGCGGAGAGCTTGCCGTCGGGCACGACTGGCAGCTGCACTGGCTCGGGGATCCGGGGTGGTCTCCTGGGGGTGGAGTAGGGGTGGCATGAGGAGGGAGGGGCCTCTGCTGAGCAGGACCGGGGTTGAGGAAGGGTAGCCCCGTGAAGGGAGAAGCTGGGCGCCAGGCTCAGGAGCACCAAGGCGCCAGGTGCTGCGGGCAAGGGGTAGGGGGACAGTTGAGAACCACAGGGCCTGGGCAGAGCTGATAGGAATGGCCTGGAGGCCTCACCCCAGCGCGGCGGAGGCAGGTGTAGCAGGTGCCTTGATGCTCTTGCGAGACAGGGTCCCGGTCCGCGACAGCTGCGTGCTCAAATCCTGGTGGGAGGGGGTAGGGTTGACTTCTGAGGCTAGGGGAGCAAGCCTCACCCTCATCCCTAAGAGGGACTGGGGGAAGGGCGAACGAGAACTGGGAGGACTAGCCAGACTCAGCAAGTTCCTACTTCCACTTTCCAACCCTCCTCCCGCCCTGCCCCCACCCCAGACGCGGGTGTCCTTGCCGGCGCCACAGGGCCTTAAGTCTGCAGCGGGTCCCACAGAGCCACCCACCCCGCCGAAAGAAACCCGCAGCACAGACTCGTCTAAAGGCCACTTCCTCTGCATAGCCACAGAGACTGAGTGGGGCCTTTGCGCCCCCACACCACGTCAACTCTGCAAGGATCTGGGTGGCTTGGTGGTCCTTAGCTCTGGTTCGAGGTCTACTCGGAGGAGACGAGGTGTGGAGAAGGGAGACATATCGCATGGAACTCATCATTTCCATAAACTTATGGAACTGACTTCCCCAAATTCAAAGCAGAGGGATGGCAGAACCCAAGACACTTAGGGGAGTCGTTGATAGAGGGCAGCCCCCAATGCAAGAGACGCCTCTAACTTCGGGACTTCCCCCAGGATGAGCACCTGGGGCCCATGTTCTCTGTCACCCTGCCTCTCTAGAGACAAGACAAAGGGAACCTGAGGCATAAAGGAGAGGGTGGAGGCTGGGCATATAGTTCAGGGGTGGAGCTTGTGCTGAGCTTATGGGAGACCTGGGTTCCATCCACAGCACCGTCAAAAGAAAAAAAAGATGAGAATCTTGGACAGCAGAAAGAACTTATGGGGACCTGAGAACTGAAGGGAAGACGTTCTCCCTGGGGGGGGGGGGGGGCTGCCATAATACAAGAGGTTAAGACCCAGGAGAATCTGATAGGAAGCAGTGGTGACAAAATGAAATATGTCCCCTCCACCAGCTGCTTTCTGTTGCCGCCTCCTGTCCCTCCACCAGCATTCTGGGGTGACTTCTTAGAGCCGTGACCTCAAACCCCCAGACAGAGGAAGTTGCTGTTCTCATGTGGCTGAGAAGTGGTTCTCATGCATAGGTCCTGACGCCATCCCCACCCTCTTCCCCTTCACACACACACACACACACACACACACACACACACACACACACACACACAGTGCCCATGGTGGGGGGCAGGGGCAGCTCATGATCTTTGGAAGCAGAGTGTCTGAGTACAGAGCAGAGGGCAGTTAGGGACCTTGGGAGAGTGAGGGGCTTAGGCCATGGCTCCTGGCCATGGAAGTGTGAGAGAGGAAGGGGCTGAGAGGGAGCACAAGAGCTTGGAAAGGAGACAGGCGGGGGGGGGGGGGGGGGGGGGGGGGGGGGGGGGGGGGGGGGGCTCCATGGCAGGAAAGGGTGGGCGGTGGGCACGAGAGCAAAGCTTTCCTTTACCTTGATTCCATGGCCAACGTCATCCAAGCAGCCAAAGTTGAGGGGGTTTCTGTGGTAGGGAGTGAGGGGAGGTAGGCTCTCGGGAGGGATGACCTTCTGGCCAGGGGGCAGCCTCATGACAGTAGCCAAGGTGCCGATCTCCCTTCTGGCCACCTTTTCCATATGCATGTTCACCATCTGCGTGACAGGGTTGGGAGGTGACGGTGAGGGGCAGCCTGTCCAACACCATTCCCTTTAAGAGCGGGAGAAACCTTGCACTCAGGAGGCAGAGGCAGGTAGATAGGTCTCTGCGAGTTTGAGGTCAACTTGGTTTCTACGATGAGTTCCAGGCCAGCCAGGACTACACAGTGAGACCCTGTCACGGAAGAAAGAAAGGAGGAGGAAAGAATGGGGGTCATGGGAGTCAGGGAAATCCAGAGCAAGCTTTGTGTCATCGTCCTCGTCCGTCCATCCGTTCTCCCCGTCCCCCATCCCCCCCATAACCCCCTCACCCCATCCCCGTAGCCATACAGCAATTGGGAAAAGAGCAGCAGAGAGGATGAAGGCACTTTGGAGCAACTTCCTGGTGGAAGAGAACAAGGGTTATTATTAGCTGTACAGGAACCAGAAGAAGAAAAGGGAAAACAACATCCCTGGGGAGGCTGGGAAGGGATTGAAGGACAGGGCAGCCTTTGGAGCAGAAGGACACAGTGTGGAGGTGGCAGAGAACTGTAACTAAGTCAGCTCTCCCCTCTAGGGGACAAACATGTGAATTAGCTTCCTCTTGGAATGTTCCCTCAGGCCTTGAGGGGTGGGACCTTGGATCTTCAGGAGGAAGAGGAAGACACACCCTATACACTGACCCCTTGGGGACATAGGTCAGACCAAAAGTGTGATTTCACTAATACATGTGCCCTGCAGGGTCAAGAATCCAGGAAGGAAGGCTGAGGGTATTTATGAGCCAAGGGTAGGGACTCTGTATGACGGTGGCAGGGATCCCCCTGGGGCTGAAGATGGGCTTGCCTAGCCGAGTGGAGGACACTTGCTAATCACTGTCTATATTTCAAAAACGGGGTGGCGTTTAGTCTCTCCTGATCTCTGCAGGTACTGTGACCGGCTGACAAGGCTTTTAGATATCCAGGGCAAGAGAGAGAGAGAGAGAGAGAGAGAGAGAGAGAGAGAGAGAGAGAGAGAGAGAGAGAGAGAGCGAGCTTTCAGAGAATTTTGCACTTAATGGGGTATCAAGGACCCCACTAAGACATAGCCATGATGG